ATATATTTATTATTTTTATTATATTGACTATTCAGCCGTGCCTGGCTAACAATACGGAAGTTACAATGATACGGCACACACATACTCTCATGTTACCATATCCAGTAATATAAAACTGACCTTTAGTCTTTACAAAGTGACCTGTCTTGGCTGTGCTTTAGTAGACTAGTATTTTGTAAAATACAGTCACATTTCAATTATTATATATTATACATGTATATAGATTATTAATATATAGAAATAAGTTCTTAAACTTATTTTTTTAAATCATAGAACAGTAACTAAAGAAGTAAAGCAAACAATTATCTCTTCTAGTTATGACCTTTGTACTCAATTGCTGCTTGATGTAGGTTGCTAAGCTTTCTAAAATTTTGCATGTGGAGGATATGAAACAAAATAATTTTTTAGGTTTTATATATATAGTTTAATAACCAATAAATTATAATATGAAAGTTCGAGCAGTCTAAAGACACAACCTACCTGCTTGAAATCTTGGTTTGAAAGAATCAGATGGTGTCCTAAAACTTGAAAATGGCTGAGAAAGCCACTAGGGGGACATTCTGAGCTTTCGATTGGTTATTCATATGTCATATACTGAAGTAAGTGTATATAAGGAACCGTTTCCAAAAATGGAAGGAGGTGGGCGATGTGCCACTATGTTTGATTCAGTACATGAGCAATATTTCAGCAAATACAAAAGATATGAGGTTCTTATTTTATATTCTAGCTTGTCAATATCAGTAATTAGAGATCCTAATTTCTACGAAACTATAGACTTAGTATTTTGACATCACAAACATCTAATTTGAACCAGTGCTGCATTTAACATATCATGTGACACACAAAAAATCAATGTTTAACTGTGTTTTTTTTAATATTTACATTTAAATTAAGAAATTGAATGATGTGTAATACTAAAATTTGATTTATAACCTACAGTTTGATATCAAACTTATTGACATAAATTTATGAAATAATAGTTCAGTAAAATTTTGAACACGTGCGATGACATGGGCTTTGACCCGTGACCCGTCTGGAAAGGGTTAAGGTAAACCATCTAGACAACTTTAGGAAGGTTTTTTATGTGGTTGTTTTAGTAGTCATTAGTAAAGAATTATTTAATCAGTTTGTTTAAACATAGCTTGTGTATTTACGTTTGCAACTAGTGTTTTTTTTTAATATTTTGACCAGGAAGCAATTGTTACGTTGAAAAGGTAAATTGAATGTCACTGATGTATTACTTGATTATTTTTATAAAATAAGTTTAGTTTAATTTTGATTTTGTTTTGTTATAGTTAGTATGCTGAAATATCAGTGTTTTAGACCAGATCTTAGGCTGATAGAGTAATAATATTTATGGTTTAGGAAATTGAATATGGTTTTGTTATAACCAAGTTTCTAAACCTGGCTATCCAGAATCTGCACAAGTACTACTTTTGTCCTTTTAAAATCAGATTAAACCTCTTCAGCAATCAAGTACGTTCTTTAAAAGAAAAACGTAACAGCTATTAAATATCAGTTGATGTAACAGTTACTAAAGTATTGGATAATTCATTATCCTGTGTAATACAAAAGTATTATCATTTATCAATATGTTACATGGTAATTACCCATTGTGAAACCAGGCTGCAGAATAAACATAGCTAATGACTTACACATGGCCAAAGAATTAATTTTTTAACTGTAAAGATAAATATTCGTTTCTTAATATTAATAATAATGAGAAATCATTTTCTTAAAAATCACAGCACTTTCTCTGTCTACATTCACAAGTTTTTAAACCAGGATTATAATTACAATTTTAAATCATGACAGTAAAAAATATATAAGATCAAAAAGGTTTGGTGAATCACATAGAAATAAAACTAATTTTCTTTGACAAGCGACCCTGTCTATGTAGCATAATTCAACCATTCAACAATATTATCTTTTATACTTTGTTTAAAAATACAGAACTGTAAAATAACATAAGATCGGATATTTTGGCTACATCTTTCATGAGAAATAAGGAACTTTTCCTAAGTATATTTTATTGTTCGTGATTATTGAACAGTCTCAAAATAGGAAGATACATAGACACACATGTACATACATACTGATATTTTAGCAAATTTATTTTTGATTTCTTTTTTAGTATTTTTGTGAAGATGGAGAAACCAAATGCAGCCATCAGAGACTGTGACAAAGCGCTCTCTCTCAATCCAGATCAAGCTTTGGCATACAAATTTAGAGGAAGAGCTCACAGGTAATGTTTTTGGTACTTCAACATTTTTTGAATTTATTTAGATTAATATATATATATATATATATTTTATTCATAGCAAATACACTAAAATTTAACATTATTGATCAACTTTTCAGTATTTTATATTACATGATGGCTAGAAACCTGAAAACCAAAATATATATTTAGGAAGAGTAGCTAAGCAGTAAGAATTCTAAAATAATAATTATTCCTGTCTAATACATATTTTTTTCACATCAAAATTGTTTATTTCACTTCTTCTTGTAATTGTAAAATAAGTTAGGTCATGATTATTCTTTCATTATTTATGTTTTATGTATCACAAAGTTAAAGTTGAAATTCATGGATGTTCTCTAATGCGTTATCTAATCTGAGGTAATGTTAATTGTAAAAATATTAAAATATAATAATAGATGTGGTTGGCAGTTCATGCCAGAGTTATTAAGGATATGTAGTGTGTTTTCTTATAAAGCAGTAAATTTTCTATGCTGTACTAATGTATATTAGGCCAGGGTTTCTCAACCTTTTGTACCTCAAGGTCCACTTAGTTGTTTGTCACAATAGTAAAGGTCTACATATGTAGCTGAGGTCTCGTTGGTTTAGGGGAGTCGTATTTGTCCAGGCGCGGGGGCAGCCCACGGGTTGAGAATCACTGTATTACACAATTGGTTAGAAAATTGAAGGGAAGTATACTAGTTGTTAAAGTGGAAAAAGTAATTTTTCATAGTATGTATGTATTAATTTATTTATTAGAGGTATTTTGTGTTACCCTCCAATTAATGATTGTTATAATTCCAACTTTTTAAATATAGGCTTTTAGGTAACTGGGAGAAAGCTCAACTTGACTTGGCAACTGCTTGCAGGATTGATTTCAGTGAAGATGCCAATGAGTGGTTGAAGGAGGTGCTTCCAAATGTAAGCTATCTTTAATTTATAACCTCTCAAAGAATTGTCCTTTTCTCTTGTCATATTTGTTTTATGATTTAAAAACTACTTGCATAATGATGAACCAGGTTAATGTAGTTTAACTTTAAAAACAGCTATTCATTGATAAAATAAAAATAAAAGATATTGATAACTTTGTTCACATTGTAAGTCGAAATCATCTAATGTGGTGTGCACTAATAACTTGAAGAGTGGAGATTAAATATATTTTAGACACAAATACCATTTAGCAATTAATGTATATATATTTTAATATACTGAACTTCAAAATACATAAATAAATCTATCACTCAAGAGCTCCTGGCCAGGTTTAGTTTTGTAAAAGAATAAGTCATATTTGCTTATTTTCTGAAATTGCCAAGATCCAGCTATTTAGAAAAAATTATTGTTACTACATAAGGTAAGTGTTATTACTATATAGACATGTACTATATTGTTTCATTATACAGCCTATGAAAGGCAGATATCTGGTAATGATAAATAACATATGATCAAGATTTTCATAATCCTTTGGTGTTTTAATGTGCAACTCGAGTGTAATTTGAATTGTAAGTCAAGATCGTTAATAACATTGTCTTTATTTTTGAAAAAAAAACAACAACAGGAGTGTGAATTCCATGCACAATTGTATTTTGACCTTTGAATATTTTCACAAACTTGTTAAAAAAAAAAGCTTGGAAATACTTGGTTGTGAAAAGTTATGTAACTGCATGGACATTGAAAATTATGTTATAGATAGGCTTCAAATAAATATTTTGCTACATGAAAATACAACAAAAATAGTTAATTTCCAATTTCTATTTACAAGAAGATGGTTCTCTCATGCCCCATGACTTACTTTTCAACAGAATAATTATCAAACTAATTAAACTAAAGATTTTTTATGGAACAAAGCTGGCAAAGGCTTAGTTTTGCGGACATGGTACCATGCTGTGTCATGTAAAAATTCTTGTTTTTTACTAAAACATTAAATGTTCTTGCTACGTATTTGGTAAAAAAAATAAAGATTACATTTAAGGCATACAAAAGTTTCACTATATACTTCAAGTTTACAAATAGACCATTGTTAGAGTAGTATAAAAAAATGTATGTATTAAACAACTGTTATCAAACAGACTTGAAAACTCTTTGTAAAGCAAAACTTCAAAGCCGTAGGCTTACATCAGATGCTCTACACAGGTGTTTGGACAGTATCAATTAAAATGTTTACACTAATACATTTTGATGTGTGCTTGAGCAATGATGCATGTATGCTATTGAACTGACACCCAGATTTATTTCACGATCTGCTGTTAATCCTTTTGATTACCAACAGTTCAGTTTGTTTCGTAGCATAAGTGTAACATTTCACTATAAAGTAAAACTAAGAATCACTTATAAGGCTTATAATTCACTTAACTTTATGGGTAATATAAATAAAGAGTTTGGTACAAAATGTACCTTTGTTTATTGTGTACTTGCTAATAGGAGAAGTTGAGCAATGACTTCAGATAAATTATGCACAGTCTCAGTATGTATGGACTGTTCTTCATGTGTACTTGTAAAATTAAATACATGTATGAAACTTCAAACTAACAGGATAAGTGAAAGGTCAAAAATGTATTTTTTGTACATTTTTGCTAGGAGAAATCTGTAATCAATAAAAATTATCATACTATATATATATTTATATGTATATAAGTATCGAGGTTGAATGATCACTCCTAATGAAAAGTTTAAATTTAATTACCCTCGTGGTTTCTCCTGTCGTATTTTTGGAGTTGTTTGCTCATTGGGGTATTCCCGATTTAGATGCATTTGCTTCTCCTCTCAACACAAAACTTCCCCATTTTTGGTCACCTGTTTCTCATCTGCAGGTGGATGTGGTGGATGCTCTTAGCCAGAATTGAACCAATTGTTACCTATATTATTATCCTCCTATTTGGCTTATTCCTTGTGTCATTTCGATAGTTCTGTCCACTCCTTGTTGGGTTCTGTTGGTGGCCCCATTTTGTCTGGCTCAGATGTGGTTTCCGCTTCTATGACTGTTATTAGTGTCACCACCAGTTCCTCTCTTTGTCTCCCATGCTTCTTCATCAGCCTCACTGTAGCATTTGTCATCCTTTCCTATCTGCACTCCATCTTCACACATGGCTTTTGTCCAGTTCCTTACCAGGTGTGTTGAATCCTTGATTTCTTGTCCTGTTCGATCATCCTTATTGGCAGTTTATTAGAGTAGGGGGACTACATACAGCTATTGTCTTTATGCTGGGGTTACCATCCTTCTCGACTTACTGTTCCTCGCTTGTCATCCTTTTTTTACTTGGCTTTATGACATTGGCCTCTCAGTTTCCTCTGTTGTGGGTTACAGGGTGGCTTTGGTCTTCCACTTTTCTATTTACCAAATTTGTGTCTGTGTTCCAATCTCCATGCATTCTCCATTCCTCATCCTCTCCACCCTGCTTATCACCTAACTCATCCTATGTTTGAACCTTTATTGTCTTACTCGTTATATTATGTTTCATTGAAGTCCTTGTTCCTCTTTTTATTGGTGTGTAGTTGCCATCATTCCATTGTTTTTGCAATTGACATTCGCCATATATTGTTCTATCATTCCTATGTTCTCCTCTTTCTCAACCGTTCCTTTCTACCCAAGACGTTGGCTGATCAGGAGGGTAATTCTGCTTTCTTTCCAATTTACCTTTTCTCCTTCTCCCATCTTTATGACTGTTCAGCTCCTGATTGCCTCTTATGCCTGCTCAGGGCTCTCCAATTGTATGTGCCATGTACTGCTCCCTTCCGTGGTTCCTGTGTCTGTTTGTTTATTCATTGGAATCCTGAGTTTCATGTGGTCTTTCTCCCATTACTGTTACGGGTTGGATTCACCAGATAATTTGGTTAGCATATTCTTCTCTTTCTCTGGTTGATTATTGCCTTTTTTGTGTCTTTTTCCATAAGATCTGTCACCTGACCATGTCCCTGGCTGCCCATCTTCCTTTGGAGGATATCATTGTTGTTCTTCACGCTCTTACTCATCCTATGTTTGAACCTTTATCGTCAGCATGGGTATGTGGACTACCCTGCATACCTTTATGTCTCACTACCTATATCACATAGCCATTTCATGCTCTGTGGGTTTCCGTTTACCTCCAGTTGGCATTTTACACACTTCTCTTTCTTTGTGACTGGTAAATACTCAGTTTCTTTTCTTTCTTTCCTTTGCTCATACATCATGGATCCTGCTCTGTGGCAAGTGGTGCCTGACCAGGTATGCTTAGTATTAAATCCACACTGTTTGTCCTGTGACCGTGCTCAATGACTTGTAATGTTGGGGAGTTTCCTACCATAGAACTTATGTACAATTTCAGATATTACCAGATGTTGATTGATTGACTCTGTCCATTGGTCATCTATGCATCAATTTCAAATATTATACTATTATACTTGATCCTATATAACATGTCTCAGGATTATGTTACGCACACTGTTAATATGGGGTGTTCTGTAGGACCAATCGTAGATATATCTGGTGGTCTTTTGCTTCATAAATATGTTCGCTCTTGACCGTACACTCATGGACTTACACAGGTAAAGCAGACAGGGATTACTGCCCATCTTTGCTCTGTGGCATTGAGGCTGTTCCAACCATGGACCTGATGTATAATTCCAGGTTTTGATAGATCAACTCCATCCACGTGATAGCTCTGCTTTTTAAAATAGGGTATCATGGTCACCCATAACACTGTCTTTGGTGCTGCAGTCCTCTGGACCTACTCATCCTGTAGCTTCCTCATTAACACTGGCACCATCTGCTCCAAAAGCCCTGACTTTGTCTCACCACTAACCTGAAAGTTTTATATCAATCTTTCCAAGCAAATTCTGGTTGTGTTTAAGATTTCTTGAACATGACAATGATCTAGTTCAAGTAAGCCTACCAGACAACTCACTACCACACTTGCAGAAACATATCTACAGCATGCAATTATATTACTTCTCACAGCTTCATCTGTTTCAGTTGTTTAAAACAATCTGTAATTTGAGCTGTGAACCCCTCTCTGCACTAATCTCCTTTTATTTCATCAGCAATCACAACAAAAAATTTCAACACACACTGTATCATTGTTTTATGTTTTGGATTCATCCAAATCATTCTTCATGAGAACAGTGTGCGAGTTAAATGTAGTGAAAAATCTTCTACTGCAATCGTATATGCAGCATTCAATTTCATTTTAAATTCCCTATGATCTTTTCTGGATTGATTTCAGTAGTGTATAACATTGCTCTGGCTGTCTTCGTCTTTGTTTGTGTACAATTTGCATTGATGCAGTCCTTAATACTTAAAATCTTTCAGCATTCATCGTGCATTTTTGCAAACTCATTTAAATTTTTTTTTCAGAACTAAAATAAGTTTTCTCTGCAACAGTTGACCCTGCCTTTATGCAAAACTCTTAATACATTTTCTCTTTTTCATCATTGTAATGTGACCAGATAAATTCATGAAGCTACGAAGTGCCAATTTTATTTTGGTGGTGGTGGTACCTCTTCTGAACAGGGAGGTTGGTCTCCAATTACTTGTAAATCATAATAAACTCTTGATTCACAAGGCCTACTGAGGCTATATCTACAGTTGATACAGATTCTGCACTTCTAGTGCTAGATGCAGCAGATGAACTAGAGAAAAGAAGTCTGATGTTTTCTTTTCAACATGACCCAAAATAAGGTTTTTTACTACAGTATACGAGCAAAGTCTACATTGGTTTATTGGAGGCAGTACAATTTATACTTTGTTTCAGCATGGTATAGTGAGTTTTCAAATTCCATGCTTTATTTTTTTATCAAGACACTTATTAATACTTCTTACAGCATTTAAGGCACATTTTGAATGACACGTGTACAAAACAAACATGTTCTAAGTTCAAACACTTTTTTCATACTCTCAAGTTATTCGTCCCAGTATCTCTTTAATAGATCTATTTTACCTGCATATCGAGATATTTGTCCCAGTATCTTTATAATAGACACGTTTCACCTCTATATCGAGATAAATGTCCTAGTACTCACCCTAATAGATCCTTGTTTCACCTGCATATCAAAATACATGCAGTATCCTTCCTGATTGATCTATTTTACCTGTGTATCAAGATATATGTCTTAGTATCCACCCAGATTAATCCACATTTCACCTGTTTATGAAGGTGTCCCAGTATCCTCTCTTATAGATTAGTATTTGACTGTATATCAAGATACATGTCATAGTTCTGTCCTTGATCCAAGTTTCACCTGTGTATTAAGTTATTTATCACAGTATCTCCATAACAGATCTGTTTCACCTGTGTATCCAGATGTATATCATGGTATCTTTCATAATTGATCTGTGTTTCTTGTATCAAGATGTATGTCCCATTACCTTCCTTAATTGATCTGTGTTTCATGTATCAAGATGTATGTCCCATTACCTTCCTTAATTGATCTGTGTTTCATTGTGTATTAAAATGTTAATGATACAGGAATAAGTAAGCCACATTCATATCATGATCATACTAGTTAATTTAGTGGCATGTATGTTACAGTTATGTCCAGAAGAGGATTGTAGCATGTGTCTGTGTTCCAGGTAGTCTGATGCCTAAGATACTATTGGATGTTGCAATTTTTTTAATTTTCTGCTTATAAGAAATAAACCAAACAAGCACTAAGTATGTTGTAGTTTGGGGGATTTCTTGAATTTTTGTTTCGTACTCTTTTCAGCAAGGCCTTTTTAAAGTTGTCTTTCAGTGTATTCATTTGTTTGAGGAGTTTATCCACACATTCATAAACTTTGTTATTTGGATGTAATCCAAGCCTAAGAATTTGGTTCAAAGTTTTTGTGAAAAACTAACAAATTGTTACATAACAGGAACATGTGGTGAATCAATTTGATTTAATACAGAGTTTAATGAGATATCTTGAAGTTTCATCTTTAAAAAGCATGGGGGTATAATTCAACTTGTCAATAAAGTTTCAAAATAGACAAAATCTTTTGTGTGTTTTAATGAATACTACAAGTCTATTTTGTCATTACTAAAGTGTTAAGGAAAGCCAGTTTAAAATCTCAATGTTTAACAATATGTACCATTAACATGCAGTTATGTAAAGAGTGGAGATCATTAAAACAATCTTGCGAAATACCAAATATGTCATCAATATACTGCACAAATAGATTAGAGGTAATATCTAAGACTTTTAGATGCTAATGTAAACGTGACAGAACTTGGAGATCATCTGCTACCTATCATCATCACATAATTTCTTTTTTAAGAAGTTGCAAGAATAAAATTTATTTTTTATTAAGGGGAAAAAAATTTTAGTATTTGTTGTTATTATTGTGCTGTAAACATTTTCACATACACAGTAGTAATCTATGATCTGAAACAAGTAAATTAGGGGTTAAATCATTCATAATCTTTTATTGAGAATTTTCAGTTTTTCTACAGATATAGTTTTAAATGCACTAAGTTGAGAGAAAGCAGTTTTTGCCTCAATTTGCTTGGTCGTTTACTACACACGTGTAGAAAGTTTTATTTCATAAATCACTAAATTCTTTCATCTTTAATAAGCTTAACATATTGTGTACTGCTTGTATATATATTTATGATAATGTGAAACATTTACAAATCTGATGTTAGTACATCTTCCTTCTGAAAGCACAATGGATTGTTTTTAATGTAATTTTTCTTCTCTTGTGTTTTTTTTTCCATTATTTTTATGAACGTACAAGACATATTTATTAAGTCCATTTCTTTAAACACAGTTTATAGGAACACTTTGCCATTCCTTATATTAAAACTTTCACTTGGATGTGAGATACGTAAATATTAATTGTTGAAATCCATCATTTTGGCTAGACTTGTAATTTAAATAGATGTGAAATCTTTACTAATTACTAATTAAATTTTTTTAACTGTCAGAACACATAGTCCAGTAGACATATAGAAAAAATTATGTATAGTTCTATATTTTTGATAAGGTAGTAACTGTCACTGTCTTTAGAGTACTTTCAGTTCTTTTTTTCTTGACAGAAATTTTATGTTGTGCTTAAGAAAAATGCCTTATCTAAACTGATACTTTCATTGGATCTTGCTGATCTAGATGTTATTCTATGAAGCGTAATTGTAAATTGTTACTGTTCTTTATCATACTAAAAGTAAGAAATGTAATATAAAATACCATCAGATAGCAAGTTAGCTGAAAAACAACCTAAAATTATTAATATAATTATTCAGTTTATGATATTAAATACATGTTTGATTGTGGCATCTCTTACTACAAAATCAAAAGATGAGTTACATGTGTTTTTTTGTACCTCTGATTTTGACCTGTGTGATTCATGGTGTACTTTTAGAACTGGAAAAGAAAAATACCCCCAAGGCTAACGTTGTGGTAAAAATCACATGACTGCAAATGTTTCTTATTATTTTATTTTCACATTTCACTATGTTAGTCAGTTAAGAATTTCAAATTAGAGGTTTGTGAAAACATCTTAGATTTTGTGATAGATAAAAGATAGAGTTTAAATACTATTTTTACAAATACTCATTTCTGATTCGAAATGCTTAATGGAGTAATTACAACATCTGCTGTCAAGTGTGATTTCTATCAAGAACATTCGGCCTATTAACTTCAGTATTTGGTGTTTAATACTCTAGTTGTTTTATGAAATAAGTGAAACATTTTGAGTGAACTTAATATTCAGAAAAATACTCAGTATGCTGTGAGCTATAACTAAACTTGTTACAAAATAATTTGACAAGATATCTGAAGATAAATTATTATCACAGTGAAGTCCAACAATTTAAGCATGTAAGTATGCTTGTAACTTGTAAGTTACTTTCTTCTAAAAGAAAATATCTAAATTTTGCATAATTAGTTATTGTAACATAACATGTTTGCTTCCGCATAATAAATTAAGCATAAAAAACAATTAAATATTCAAGAGATGCCAAGGAGCAGTCACAGTGTTCCAAATTTTTATGCCACAGGAGAAATTTGGCTTTGAAACATAATTGTCTTGACTCACCAGTGGGGCACATGGCAGTGAATGTTAAAACAAGCCTGCCAATTGACCAATCAAATTATGTTTATTGACTGCTTATTTTTTGACCAATGCAAAACTGGTCAAGTAGGTTGAAATAACGTAAAACATGTATTAAGTGCTATAAATACTCTCCCATACTAGTTAAGGTTTTTCTGATTAATTTTTAGGCCCCAAGGTGGTTCCTCTTCTGCTTATAGGCAAGTCTTGGAATTACACCTCTACTAACAGACTGCAAGATGACCGAGTATTCAGTACAAACAATAAAAAAAACTAGTTGTTAGGCCATATCCTAATATTTATCTTTTTACACCTTTTTAAAATATCATATATATGAGTGATGTTATAGTATGCTCTGTTATAATATCTTCAATTATATGCAGCCAAGAAATTTTTTTTTAATTTACAAAATAAATTAATAGTAATGGCATGTTAAAAAAAAATCAGATAGTTATTCAGTATAATGATTGGTAATATTATTTATTCACAATACATGTCCAAATAATTGGAACACTGGCTATGTTGTTGTCAGAAGGCTGGAGATTATAGTGAAGTGGTTCTTTTATTTTCATATAATTTACATTAAATTGAGTAATATGCAGTTAAGATAAAAAAACAACAACAACAAAAAACAAATAATAAATTGAAATTTACAAAGTTAAAAAACAATTTAAGCATGTAAACGTGCTTGTAACTTAAGTTTTTTGTCTTGTAAAGTATAATGCAGTTTACAGTGCAGGACAAAATTTCAGCACAAGAAACATTTTATCAGTAGATAGATAGTTTTATTTAGACTGCAGATCTTCCAATAACACATTTCTACTTGTATACTGACAGGAACTATGCAAGTAGATTACGATCAAACCACTTTAATTTCTACAAAAGTATTGAGTACATTTAACAAATGTTTGCACACAGTGAAACTGTATGTTTGCTTCCCTTACAATTAAAGCCATGACAGTAAGACTTAATTGTGTGGGGAGTCAGACATGCAACTGGATATGTTGCTACTTACAATATTAAAGAGAAAACGGTCATATCTTATACCGAAAGGATGGGCACAAAGATTCAGAGTGAAAGACCATAGGATAAAAAGTTTAAGTTTTTTTTTTTTTACATTTTTAGAAGTGTAACAATTAAGTTTTTGAGGATAACTCAGGTTTAGAAAAGTTGGCAATTTACTCTGCATAAGGTTTTTAACTTAGTAAATTGACTAATGTTTGTGTTTTTAAATCATAGGCATCAAACCAAAAGAAACAAAGCAGCATAGGAAACATAAGTAAAAAAACAACTTTAGATGATTCATAAAACCTTCTACTAACTCTTAGAAGGCTTAGTAAAAACAAATATAGAGGAAGGAATCAGTTATTTCACCATCTTTCCTTGAAGGAGAGTTGAGAGAATAAAAATTCCTGAAAAAAAAAGTATATATTCAAGTTGTAAAAAACACCAATAATATTTTCTTACTGAACATGTGTACCAACTGACAGATCATATTTGAACAACCAAACTAAAGAAAGTAACTACTTATCACCTTTCAGAAATATTGTTAAAATTGCATGTGTTATGAAATTAATAGGTTAAAATCTCGGAGTAGCACAGTTGTAACATTTATTATTTAGTAAAGGTTTACATGTTTCTAGACATGCTTTCACGTGTGGGTGTGATACTGCATTATATAAGCTTGCTGTTACTTTGCAAACACTATTAAGAGATTTTTGGTATACCATACATAAGTGGTTCCTTTGCGTACCATTTTAACTTTGGATATTAAATTAATGGTTTTGTTTTTATCAAATCATTCAGATATAGTAGTGTTCTACTGAAATGTGTGAACAAACACATAAATCACAGAAAAACAAACTTATAATTTCATAAAATAAAACATGGTTATTTGCCACATGTAAAAAGTGTAAAGCAAATTATTTTTCCTTTGGTAATAATTTATACGTGTGATTTAAAGAAAAATAAAATAGACATTTATACATTACTCTGCAAATAAAAATTTCTCACACTTTTATAACATTAAAAAAGATACGTAGTGCAACAAAATGTATATTAACTTTGTTCAGCTAAAAGCTACCTAAGTTTCTGTAATGCATTACCATTTCTGTTGCCATGACACATGACTACCTTCTGAATTTTTAAAGTAAGAAGGAAATCACTTCTATTGTTCTTTCCACTTAATATATGTACATCAAAATTCTGTAATCTATATAAACATTAGAAAAAGAAACTATATTAGCATTTAAACTAGTATTATAACTATTGCAATATGTTTAAACTAACCTGATTCAAAGAGGCAGTGAGCAATAAATGATGAATATTTTCTAATTAAAGTTAAATATTTTGATTTTCTTTCATTTTATTATATAGTAGAAATTGCCTCTTTCATTTTAATCCCAGGTCAAGGGTTTTCATTTACATTTTTTCTGTATTTATTCATGGTATGATCCCAATTCATTCCACAGTACCCCAGTGTTTTACAGTTATGAATCCGTTGATTATAAAGTTCTTCCAGAAGGGATGGGATTTTTTCATGAATCGCATGTTCCACTCTTTCCAAAGGACATGGGCCATAAAAAGGGCAATGCTTGGCTAGTGGCAAGAATGACTCAATTGGATGAATCTTAAAAAACTCATGGTATTGTTCTGGTGGGGGTAGGTCATGTTTGCTGATGTCGGGGTAAGCCAATACTGTATCAAAAATACGATACTCTCCAGGCTTCTCAATTAAGTGTTCTTCAACTTCTTTATTGTTTTTAAAAATAGACTTTTTGTCTTGGAACACGTGAAGGTACTGGGCAACTAGCAGAGCGTGATTCCTCACTTGTATGGCATTCTGACGAATGAGAGCAATCTTGTTCTCAATCCTATTAGAAACAATCTCATGTAGGTCCTTGAGAAGGGTCAACTCCTCTTCCATGAACAATTGACCATTAGGTTCAGAGACTAAGTTGTACTTCTTGGACCAGAAGGATCCGACGTAAACTCTAGGTGGTTCAGTGACATTAATTAATGGTGAAAGACTCCAGAAGAGGGCACCATACACTCTCATTAATTCTTGGGGAGTTAGAGAATCAGCTTTATTCAAGATGATTCTCACCTGTAAAATAATTAAAATCAAACATTAGAGAAGTAGGATGTGAATGAAAGAATCTGATGTAAAAGAGTATTTGTGTGAAGTAGCTTTGTTGAATAAATTTATAAAACAATTTCGCTTGTAGAGAATAAATAGGTCAATTTTTTAATGAAAAAGGCAGATTGTATTACTTGTTTTGTATATAAGAAGTCTATCTATACTATTTGCTCTTTGCTGATTTTTTCCAACATTACCATTTACTACAGTTCTTGGATGATAGTTATTAAAAGCAGAAATACAGTTGCTTGTTAATCAATAAACAAGGGGTGTTTCTGAAGATTTTCCAACACTATGGCTAACTCCACTAACCTAAAGTTACTTGGAAAGCAGATAGCTCTAATATAACCACTTTATATTGTTTAAGAGTTCTTATTTCAGAAAACTGTTTTAGAAATTTTAGGTAATTTTGATTTCTGTTCATTTAACATAAGAGCAGACTTTTTATCATCTGTACACTTTGATGTATAACCTGTTATTAAATGAAAGTGAATGTAATATTATTTCATGCACAGTGAAAGAAACATAAGGTGAAATACACGAGACAGTCGTATAATACAAATGAAGCTATGATTATGAAGTAAGCTATTTATAACTTTACACAATTGAATATACAAGGCATTCATATTTACCAAAACTATTCTATATAATATCATACAAGATGCTTTCAGTTTTATTCGGAGAGAACAGGCAATTTTTGCAGATTAGCAGAGCTTAAGAACAAGTACAAGTATAGATTATAAGCACTTCAAAGCTGCTTTCATTGCTGAAAATGTGTGCATAGCTCTACTGAAATAAACATAATGACTTTTAAGTGTTTGATGTAAAAATGCTTAATTATCTCAATAATTTTTCTGATATTTATGAGCACGAAACATGCATGTGGGAGAGGTTCCCGGGATGTAACTATTGTAAAATTATTAGCAGTATTAAAAATTTCGTATAGTTATACACTTGCACCACACAAAAACACCTTAATGTTTTTATTATGTAAAAATAATTTGAAAGCTATAATTATTATTCAATATAACTTAAGTATATTTTTAATGTTAATTTTCTTCTATGAAAGACCCTTAGGCCTATTAGTCCCCAGGAGGCTCATCAGTTAGATTCAGGGCTTATTATATCAAGATATGGGGTTCTATCCTTGGGAAGATGTGGTGTAAATATTGCATTCTGTAGCTTTGTGCTGAAACAAAATATTCTTGGTTAACCATGGTACGTGGCTTGGCATGGCCAGGTGGTTAGGACACTCGACTCACAAT